TAAAATATTTGACGCAGAATGCACGAGGGTATTCAACAGAGTTAATTATCCTTCAGGAGAAGCAGAATATTAACAATGCTTCACCGTGTACTTCATCAGCATTTAATAAGTAGATTATTATGATAAATGCACTTTTGTTTTTTCTTTATTTATAGTTTGGCTGCCAGCGAGTTTCATGCTGCCTTGTTATGTTGCTTTGTTGTGGGATTTTAAAAATTAAGAGAATTTCGCCTGCCTCTCCTATATTCGTCGTGGAATCAATTAATAGGGGATCATGAAAGAGAGAGGCAGTTTATTTTTCTGAATTTAATTCCTGTGAGACTTTGTTAATTATTTCAATAATGGGCATAGATCTTGTTCATTGAAAGTATATTAACGCCATTGGAGGAGAAAGATATTGATTTCTTCGTTGCTTATGATCCTCATCTGAAGATAGAGATGGAAACGGCCGTGTAGATAGAGCCTTCTCACAAGAAAAAAAGAGAGGTAAGATAGTCACGATAAAATAACTTTAAGGCACGAATTCATTTAGAATTAAAGAATAAAAAAAAAAAAAATAGTTGGAAATCATTATTTGCATAATTCCTGATTCAGCAACAAATGGGTAATTTTAACGGGCAGTGAAAGGAGAAAAAGGTATGGCCCCGGTTTGGTGAATGTGGATCAGTCCCTCTTTATGGAGATGGACTTGTACTCCTTCACCGTCCCTGTGATGGCATGTTCTACGGGCAGCCTCTCCATGCTAGATGCACCATAAAATCCATGGACTCCCTTCGTGCTCTTCAGGATATATTCTGCTTCCCGGGGACCAGATATAGGACCTGTAACCAAAATAGACTATTTCTCACTTTTCAACCCCTTTACCTTAACGTCTCTTATTTTACTACAATCCCATTAGCCTCAGTAAAAATACTTCAAAAAAATAAATGAAGATTTACATAAATATCACTCGAATCATATGTATTTACATACCTAAGACCTATACTTCAATTATTATGCATGAAAAGTTGTATTTCACTTTTAAAAACAAGTTAATTATGTTATATGAAAACTTTGTGTGGTATAAATGCAATAAAGAAAAATTTAGGTGTTAGATATGTAAATACAAAGAAATTGGGTGGCATGTATATAAATGCCCCTCAATATTGAAACTTAAAACAATGGTAGGTGCAGGGAGGTGCATAATTAGAAGTTTACCTCCATGGCAAAGGGTGATAATATCAGGATTTACAGCAACTGCAGCATCTGCAATAGCTTGAACGCGGTGTACACTTTCCTCCAATGTAAGAGCAGTCTGTGCACCAATTGATCCAGCAGTGGTAAGGCCCATGTGTGCCACAATAATATTCGCACCAGCCTTAGCCATCCGAGAGGCTTCATCTTCATTGAAAGCATATGGAGTTGTTAAGAGGCCTATTCTATGAGCTTTGTTGATCATCTCAGTCTCCAATCTAGAGCAGAAAAATAAGAATGGCCATCTTATTGTGAGTCACATGTTAGAAATATTAATAGGAAGATTTACATGCATACCACTCAATTTCTATACATTTACATATCTAACACCTAAACTTTAATTTTTACAGACACACCACTTTACCTATGCATGGGAAGGTGTAGCTCACTTTTTATGTGATAAGAAAATTTTACGTGGTATATAAATGTGGAAAATAAAGTTTAGGGGATATATGTGTAAATGTAGAGGAATAGGATGGTATGTATGTAAATGCCCCAAAATAATATATACCTGATGTGAAGAAAATAATAAAGAAAAGAAGATAGTGGAGGCACCTACCCATAGCCCATCCCTGTCTCTTCCAGATTTTGGCGGAAGTTGCCATCGAATAGTCCAACGGTTGGAAAATTCTGAACCCCAGCGAATCCAGTCGCTTCTAGCTGCTTTAGGAAATTGTCCATTCGACGAAACGGATCAGTGGCACATACCCCAGCGAGAACTGGCACTCTCTTTACAACCTATGGAGGGCGTGGGATATTTGTGGAGAAAGAATAGTTAATTAGGTTCCTTCTTTTAAAATAAAATAATCCGGTTTAGGATGGATCACAAAAACCATTAAATTTACTTCGATATGGGTGCAAAATAAATTTTGATATATGTTGCACGCATCTTAAAATAAATTCAATGATTTTAAAATGAAGCATTTACATACATACCACTCAATTCCTATGTACATATCTAACAATTAAATTTTTATTTTTACATTTATACCACCGAAAATTTCATCACATAAAAAAATAAATAAAAATAAAAACCAAATTTTCAGGCATAGAAAATGTGGCATGTATGTAAAAATGGAAGTCTAGGTGCTAGATATGTACACACATAAGAATTAAGTGGTATATATGTAAAACTTCCGTTTAAAATTTAGGGAGATTTAAACACATACCACACAATTCTTTTTTATGCCCAAAGTTTGATATTTACACTTATAACATCTTGGTGTCATAAACCTATACATAAAAAGGTGTAATTTACTTTCAAGAAGACGGTGATGGTGATATTTTTGATGTAATGTTATAGATTTTAGTGTTCATGTATATATGCATGTTTAGCTATTCAGTAAATACATAAGTATTGTCTGGTATGCATATAAATGCCACTAAAATTTATCCTAATAAAAAATTAGATAAAGATTTCCTGAGTTTAGTGTTTCTCGTATTTTAAAACCAAATTACACATCTATGGAATAGTTTAACAATGCCAAAAGTTTCTTCCTTTTATCATTCCTTATTATGTGATTCTGCAAAATTAAACTATTTCTACCATTGAAAGTAAGAGTAGTTAAATTAACTCACAGGCAACACTTCATTAGCCATGTCGAGTACAACAGCATTTGCATCGGCGAAAGGTAATAGCCCTGCCAAAGAACCTCTTCCGGCCATGCGGAATCGCCCGGAGTTGTATACCACTATCAGATCCACACCTCCAGCTTCTTCAAATTTTGCAGATATGCCCGTTCCAGCTCCGGCGCCAATAATGGGCACACTTTGATTTATCTGTTGTTTCAGTTGTTCTAATATAGCATGGGTTCTCCTTAAAGTTTCTGCAGAATGATAAGCAAACAAGGCAGAGAATTTCATAACAAGAATTATATGAGACTTCACCAAAAACCATAGAATGAAGACAAAAAATGTTCATTAATGCTAGTTTAATCTCACCGACCGGAAACTTTCTTAAAATGCTGTAAGAATATCCATTAACCAAATAATAAAAGAGGCCAGGAAGGGGAGGAAAAAGAAAGATAAATAGCAGATCCTAAAGTTGGAGATGCCAAATCATCAAGATAGAAACTTTACGAGAATTAAGCTTATGAGTTCTACAATATATAAAAGGATGATTTACATACATACCACTCAGTTCTTATGTATTGCATATCTAACACCTCAACTTCAATTTTTATATACATCCATCCCACCTTGTCTATGCATAAAAAAGTGTCTTTTACATTTTAAAAGTTGAAATGGTGGTATTAATATGAAACATTTTTATTTATTTATTTATTTTTTTTTTTTTTGAAAGGCAATATGAAACATTTGGGTGGTATAAATGTAAAAAGTAAAGTTTAGGTGTTCGATATATAAATACATAGGAATTTGATGGTATGTACGTAAATGCCCCTATATAAAATAAAGTTAGCCTTGAAGATGTATAAAAGTAAATTAAAGACAGTAAGGACGTAGTTAAAGATGAAAACATCAAGGGAGGTGAACATGCTGCATTGAACATTATTAAATGAGAGTACTTAGAAAGAAGTACTTACAAATAAACAAATAATATACAAATGAATTAATTCAAAAAAAGTGAAGTTGGCATTGAAGAAGATTCATAAAAGTAAAGCTTTACATAGATAAAATATCCACCGATATACTCCACCGATATTGGGAGAATTATAGGTGATGCTCAAGAAAAAAATTGATGGAATTTTGCATGTAAAATGATTGAAGATGAAGCATTTGGAACCAATGTTAATGAATAATGGAAATGATCATGATCGCGATAAGTACAAAGAAAGTAAGCTTATGTATTACAATAAAATTATTGGAGAAGTCCTAAAACATTGGCATGAACAAATTAAATCACTACTAAAGAATTAACCTCGAGTTTATGCCATGAATCAATTTAAATTTTA